TAATTTTACCTTTTATCGCTTAAAATTCCAATGTGGACGCTGCCATGTTGATAACAGCTTAAAACAGTTCCTACCTCATCGTAAACTATGCAGTAAGAATCTGAAATAGCAGTCGACGTGATAACCTTCTTCTCCTTTAAGAAGTCTACCTTCTAAAATCCTTTGACATTGTTCAAAGTTAATAAAAATCCCTGACTCGAAAGTCATGTAAATAATTGTGCGCACATGAGGGATTGTGCTTTTAAAAGTATCATGTTATGCAAGAAATTATAAACTTTTTATATTCTCTTGTATAATACAACTGGTATTGCCCAATTTTTCCTAAGTGTGAAAAATTACTGCCCATTTTTCCAAATAATGTCAACAGTTATGCCAGCACAATCCATAAGAGCCTACATCCATGCATTATGAAGGAAGAAATGCTCTCCAAATTCCAGATGTATTATTTCCTTTGCCATCTAAGTTATCTGTGTTCGTGGTGTCTTAATGGATTTTCGGTTTTCTTGGCCTCCGTAATCACACAAAAAACGTACTCTTATTTCCTTTTGAAATATTAAAAAAGTATATATAGATTATGTATTGTGAAATAGAGGCTGAGAAAAAGGTGTACTCAAAATGTAAACATAAATCTGCAAATAATTGACGTCCATGCCTCTATGAAGATGGACGAATGGGAAATCTTTGAACAAGACCCTAGAATATTGCTTTTAATCACAGTAGAATCTCCTTAGTTTGAACTTTAAAGGGAAACAAAAAATGGTTCGAATTATCTGAGAGAAAATGATTGAAGTATGGAGACATGGGAAATCTGATCTTGCTTCAGGTCACCGGGGGTTCCAGTTCACCGAGATTCTACTGTGTCAACAAACTCTTAAAAATCCAATCTCTTTGTAAAAATTGATTTCTCCATTGCGCCATTCAGCAGTTTGTTGAATATGCATTTACCCCATTATAAGAAACCTTTTTTCCTGTCATTTTAATTAATGCGATATTTAATAGATGTGTGTGGCAAATAAACCTACAGTGGATTCATAATTAACACGCGCACTAAAGGCACTGAATCTTGAATTTTTGGACTACCCTGGTTGAATTCATGAGATGAGATATGAACTCATATTTTTTTTCGTCTTTCTGCTTTCCTCCCCTTTCTTTTGTTTTTTCTTAGTGGGCGAAGTGAAACAATTATTTTGCCTAGCATATGCAAATATTGTTCCCAGTGTTCTGAATTTAAAAGGACATTTTAATTACATTTTCCTTTTTTTTTTTTTTTTTTTCATCCTGCTCTTTTTGTGTTATTTCTTACGCATTCCGCAGAACGGTTTCGAGCTGGAAGAGGCATTTATTGATAAGGACAGTTTAATTCAAACCAAAAAATGTAAAAATGTTTTTTTTTTAAGCGCTCAAAACACGCAACATCAGAATTCACTTTCATCATTCAACAGATGACGAATATGTCATTAAGGACATAAAAGATTTCGTATGCGTTTTACTTGTGTAAAGTGGATTTCTCCTTCGTTGTTTTTTTAAAAACGGATTTTCCGAAAGAGTGAAAGCCATCCAGAGAGTGGTACCGATATAAGGCACAAATAACCTGCGCAGTGTACCTACCGCAGTATACCTTCTTGATAAACATTGGTTAAGGCTATCTCTAAAGGCGAGGTAAATAGCAAAAAAAAAAAATTTGTTCTAGTAAATTCGATAAGCATTTAAGAGGGTCATTTAAGCATTGGGTGATGGCTCTCTTGGCTTACAGGTTAAAATTTTGGTCATTTTACGGCTAACGGTCATCTCCGTTGTGATTTTAAAAAATAATTTACGGTCAACTTTTTCTAAATAATGGTTAGAATTTGTCAGTTTTTACGCCTAACTGCTTTTTCTTTTTTTTTTTTGCTGTTTTACGGCTAACGGTTAATCCCATCGAGACCCTTATTTAAGGGAACATTCCTGTCGAATGCCTTTTCCAGCATTTTAAAAAGTTTTTTCAAAGTAGTTTTACTTCGGCTCTGTAAGGTTGTGGTCCACGACGATAAATTTTAAGAACAATTATCATGATTTAGTGACAGATAATGTCTTTAGGGTACGTTTAGAAATGGCAAATCAAAAATGGATAAATAAAGGGAGAGGAGATGAATCTGTAAATAAAAATGAGAAAGTATATAGAATTTGAGAGAAGTTTAATTAGAATTATTGGAGTGAATGATAGACGTACATGATTCATACAGGCATTTATAACGTCCTTTTTCCGATTCTTTTCATCTCCACTAACTCCATTTTTTGGACAAAACGTTTGACACCATTTTCCTTTGAAGTCATCTTTTATCAATTCATTGCGTGATCAATACTGTTTTATCTGCGATCATTCATCGCCCATGACCTGAGGCATTAATGTTATCACGTACTGATTAATGTCAGGATAGAACCGCAATTTCAACCAACAAAGCAGTTGTTCAAACTATGAGACATTTTTAGGCAGCTGTAAAGAAAATAAATGTCATGTTTTCTTCCGCTTCCATTAGCTTTGTGATTAAATTATTATCACAAGCATATTAGATCGTTGTTAATTAGTTGTCGACTAAGAGGCGAATTTCATTACCCAAATAGTAGACTAAACGCCCTGTTGACGTTGAGGTCCATAAGTCATTGTCAAAACATCTCTTTTTTTATGAAACGGTAACTGTTGATAGTAATTTCTTTAAAGGTGTCAAGTGAAGGAAAATTGTCACTCGGTGATCTGAGTCGAACTTTGGGAAATCTGACGCAAGATGAAGCCATGAAACTTCCTAAATTCAGTTGAAAATTTTTTTATTCTCCATACAGCTTTTAATTAAAAGGAACCGAACGCAGTCATCGTATCATGAACAACTCCAGTCTTCCAAATGTCGACCAGGGATCGTGCTGGCTCTTTTCTTCTACATTCTTCACAACGCTTTTGGTTGTGGTAAGCTTAGCAGCTTTCGTTGGCAACATTCTTGTCGTTATCGTGGTGTTCAAGACGCCAATTCTTAGGACAAGTACTAACTTCTATTATGTCAACATGGCCGTTTCTGATTTTCTGGGCGCTCTCTTCACCTGGCCAGTGTATCTTACTCACGAACTCATAACAAGCAAGGGGAGCCTACTCCACGGTACTCTGGCTTCAGCTGGGTGCAAAACGGGCGCCTACATAAGACTCCTGTCATACTTGGTGTCTATTCTAAGCATGGTATTAATCGCGGTGGAGAGGTACATCGCGATAGTACATCCCTTAAAAGTGATCCTACTAACACGAAAAAAAAGAGCAGCCTTAATATTTGCAGCATGGTTGATACCGATAACGTATTCCGTGCCTCACATCTTTTATTTTGAGGTAGAAGAGGTTGATCAGATAGCCTTCTGTAGATTTTCATGGAATCCTTTAGCGATTATGATATTTTATGCTACTACCTTTCTCGTGTTTTTTGTTGTACCGTTAACATCGATCACTGTTCATTACACTGTTATTGTGCGCGCTCTGAAAAAAGCCATACCAAGCGACGATGCAAACCAAAATAGTTTTCAAAAGAAGAGATACATGCACAGCCAAAACATAATGAGGTTACATAAGTCAATCGTGACAGTATTTGTCGGTTGTTATTTACTTTATACCGTGTTCTTGATCATGAAAGCTACCGTCCCTAAGCTTTTTCTTAAAGACGAGTGCAAGTGGATGCTGGGTATTTTCTACTTCATGCTTCCGTTGCTCAGTTCAACGGTCAACCCGTTTATTTTGTTTCTATTCAGTACTAATTTCCGTCAAGCTTTACAGACATTGTGTCCGTTTTCTTGTCCAAAATTCTGCATAAAAGTGAGAAGAGGGACGGTACGAAGTTACAGAGTAAGTTTTTCTCCTAAGGAAGCCACCGGAACAACATGAATAACACGTTACTCATGAGGCACACTCACACACGATCACAAAAAAGTTAGAAAGAAAAGAAAAAAAAACCGGAGAATACAGAGTGTAAGTCTGAGTTCTTCTGATAAGATGAAGGTGATGTGCGGTCGTTTCGCTAACGAACAGTTCGCTAACGCCTTGCCTTTCATTGACTTCAATCGAATCGACTTTCAATTTGTATTGAAACGACCTAACTCGACATTTCGGTCGATATGAAAAAGATTACGTTCTAACGTTGGTAGAGCTAAACTTTATGTAATTTAACGTTCTGTAACGCGCCAGAGTCAGAGAAACGAGCCAAGACGTTGGCGAGGTGGTCGTTTGGGAAACGACACGTGCGCGAAACGAACAGTTACCATGAAGTTCAACTTTTTGTATCTTAAGTGTCATACATTCTATAATTTACACCTAAAAATAAGTTTAATATTGTGGTCTATGGCGTTGACATCGTTTATGATAGAGATTAACGTAACTGCCGTGTTAGACCATTTCATCTATTTGGCCTAATCTCCTGACAAGCGTGGCCAACGCGATGACGGAATGGGCTCATTACCAGTAGGCTAAACCACGTGATTTTAGTCGTTTGTATCCGATACAATATAGACTAATAATATAATATTGTTGAGCAACTATGAAAGAGAAATTGCGAAAAAGCAATTATGAAAGAGCACTCAAACGTAATCCATAATATAAACGAACAAACCAGACACACAAACACTAAATAAGCTAACCATTTATTTAAACTGGAATATCCTTTACACGTTGAAGAAACCTCCTTCTCCACGCGTTTTTGCATCGCAACAAATACTAAGAAATACCACAAAATTACATTTCTAATAGTCTCCCTTTGACGGAAATTTGTTTCAAAAAGCTACAGTGAAAGACACCCTTCCCCAGACCTGTTTATTTGAGAAATATTTATCTATACAACGAACCCTGAGGACAGCGGAGTTATTCATGCCTTAGAAGACATGCGCTCCCCCCTCATTTGACCTTAATATCAATGCAGTTGTTGAGAGAAATTAAATATCGGGACACTTTTAACTCGAGACAGTTTTTTTTTTTAAAATCACCAACTTGCTGTTGATATCACAGTTCAAAGGTGATGTTCTCTGTCTGTTTAAGTTCAAGTTGAGAGGGTAAGAGAAAAACAAATCGTGGTTTAAAAAGAAAGAAAACATCCAACCACTCAATGAATCCGCTTTGATGTTTTGTATAAACTTCATTACATAGCCCAGTAGTAGATAAAGCTTCTGGCCGAAGAGCACAATTATTTTTGTCAGTTTTACATTCTTCTTACCGGCTTCCTTCGTTTGCAAGGATTTCATAATCTCTTCCTTTTTTAAAACTAAGAGACGATTTCAAGTTACCAAAATAATGGAAAAAGTGATCCAAATCCCGTTCTTTTATATCAAATATTGTGAGTTACTAGATGCAGAATAATTTCTTGAATTGTAGTCTATTTAAACTTTGCAAAACTACTATCTGTATCATTTCCTCGTGACCTATTGCGTTATCCCAGAAATTTCATTGCAAAATCACCATCACCCTTCACTCCCCAGATGTAGGTGGTAATTCTCGTTAGTATACTGTGATTTCAGTTCTGAGAATTTGGTGCCGGGTCGATAGTCTCTTGGATGATATTTTAATACTCTCATCACTAGTCTGGTTAATACTGCATTGACAATGTCAGGAGAAATCATGTCTGGGTCACTCCTGGGAGTGAGTGGGTCAAAACCTGTACAATTTCCTACAAAGAGCGAATACCAATTTAACAACTCCTAACTTTTTTAGTTTGTATCTTCAAACACACCAAGCACGACAATACTCAACAAATTGGCAGCATACTTTGAAATAACACCATCTGAGTGATAAAATTAAAAGCATTCGCTGCCACATTTTGGCGAATTTAAATTTGGAAATTGAGATCTTCTCAATAAAGAAATTATATCCTTCGTTAGAAATCCTGAAAGGTATGTAACAATATTTCAATAATTTTTTTTTTGTCTGCGATAATTCGGTAATTTCTTAGTGATAAAAATACTCAATCACGTGTATTAAGCTGAAAAAAGTGTTATCTGTCATTTTTGGGTTTTACATTCGGCACAAAAGAAATAATTTCTTTTTAGAAAATTTATCTCGAAAGTTGTGAACATTAATGAAATTCAGACGACCAAGTACAAGTGTTAGATAATCCGCTCCGGTGCTGTGTCGAACTAACTGCCTTCAGCTCTAAGTACGTTGTTGCCCTTTTTAAGAAAAAATACTCCTTCCACGAAAACTGCATACTGGAAACCAAAATATATGTGATGTAATTATTGCAAGATGATACGACGAACTTCGCCATGGGTTTTCGAACCCACTAGCACGCTTTCCGTGCTCTTTCCGACAGCTTAAAAATGTCTCTGGTCAGAGTGCTCAGAACATTTTACCTTTAGTTCCAAAAACATTTAAACTTCAGACCCTGGACTTGGTTCAATTTAGTTTAAGGTGGATCACGCCAAAAAGAAAAAAAAGTACATCAAAATGTCTGTGATAACGGCACCTCCCTTAAATAAAACTTAACAAAAAAGTCTTATTTTTACACTTGTTCTTACGACCACTGCTTTCAGAACCCATACGCTAATTCCTGCTGCATCAGGTGGCTCTGTTTGGTCAATTTTTGGTCGACATTTGTCGATGAATCTTCGGAACTCTTCGGTCAACAACAGTAGGTGGAGCTTCGGCGACACTCACGTCAAACTAAGAATGCTCCAGTCAATCTTTGTCGAATTCAAAGTGTTTAACCTTTCCTCTCCCATTTTGACCTTGTCACGAATTTCCGCGTGCATAAGAGCGAGCTGCGTTTTCATGTCTATGTAGTACTGAAAATCTGCATATTCCTCCTCTTCCAAGCAATTTTCTAAAATCTTCGACACTACCTCTCCGCGCTTATCGTTCACTTCCTTGATTTTACACGCTTCCTCGTGTTGCAGAGTGACTTTGTCGATTTTATCGAGTAAGATATCCTGAAACATGAAAAGAAGTTCTCAAAATAAGTTATTAGCGCTGCGAAAAGGCCTGGCACTCCTTGTTATCCTTCTTTAATACTTTTATGGGGCAATTTGGGAAGGAAAGAGCCTGATTCGAAGTCACTGTATATCTAGACAAAGAAGACAAGGAAAGCGATTTAAGAAAAAAACAGGAAAAGCGAGAGAACAAAGACAGAAAAGGAGTGACTAGAAACGATGAGGAAATAAAGGAAAGTGAAACGAAAAAATGAAACTCAGCCAACAGAGGAGTCTTAGAGAGGCAAGAACGCAAGTAGTACTGCACGGCCGATAAACCTTTAGCACGCATTACTTGAACGTGCGAGGGTTAACACCCTTCTGAACAGAAATAATGCATGTTGTACTTCTCCCATGACGGGCTATCAATAACGGTCATAGCTGGGAAAAAAACCTAATAACTATAATTACTGATACCCCACTTACTCTTTGTTGTCGGTCGGCTTCTTCAGACATGTCCAAATCATGGAGCATCATTTCATATCTGTGCATTCTCTGCGTGAGTATCAGTAACAATCCTATAATCTTGTTCAGCTCGCCTGTAAAACGCTGATACTTAGAAAACTCGCTATCACTCGTCTTTCCTTCCACGACCTTTGTGACTCTTTGTCCCAGCTCCTCATTGCCATCGATTTCATCTTTAATTTCGTCCATCTGTGATCTCAAGTCCACTATTTTCTGCTTCATGCTTTCCACGAGATCAGCCTACATAACCGAAAAAAGAAAACATCGTCAGGTTAACAAAAGGAAGACAGATGGGCAAAAGCTAGGCACTAGTCTCCCATTCGAAACGCCTCGGTTAGAGCCCTAGCCTGGTCTCCACCCTGGAACACAACTGGGTTTCTTCGAAACTCTCCGCGGGAAATTGGCGCGCAAACGGCAAGAAATGATCCCCTCGCGCATGCCCTACGTTTGACCGCAGTGTTGAGGTGTGGTCATTAGTGTATGTCGCGTTACTTGGAAACGCGAGGGGCAAAAGTTCTATATCTAGTCCAGGTAACAAAGAGGACAATGGTCTGAGTATGTAACCCAGGCCCAGCCATGTAGGCCTCTAAAACGTATTCGACTTGTAACTAACAGCTTACCTTCTCTTTGTCCAATTCTACCAGTTTTGGGCTCAACATGCTGTTAGGGCGGCTTCCGGATGGAGTGGACGTACTAGAACTTAAACTGTGAGGGCTGTTAGAGACATCTAAACAGGTGCCCTTTTCGTTAGACCCCTCTAATTTGGTAGGGGTTGACGTTAATACAAGTGGAGCCGGTGGAGGAGCTCTTGGAGAGATATAACTCCTGTTCTCTGTAACAGATGCATCTTTTGATGACAAATCAGTACTTCCGGAGAATTCCAGCGCTGTACTAGACAATCCACTAGATTCCAGCTTCCCCGGTCCATTTAGTTCCATTTGAGTTTCGTGGTTAATTTCCACGCTTGATTCCACCACGACAGATCCAACAGGTTTTATCACATCGCTACTATCCACACCGTTTCGCTCAAACGTCTCCTTCTGTTCAATTCGATCCCGTCGCGATTCATAGTCACCAACCGAAGGCGGAAACTCGACCAGAACTTCCCGTGGCGGGGAGGGCAAAGGCAAGTTGTCTTGTGACGTTTCTAGTGGGTCGAACAGTTCCAACGGGGGCGGAGGCGGCAGAGAATCATCTGCATCCCAGAACACGCTGTTTTCGTCTTCATTTGAAGGAGGGAGAGGTTCTACTTTGGCCGACTTTCGACTGAAGTCTAAGTCGGGAATATTTGAGTTAAAAGAAGGCTTTTCATTCTGTGAAGTAACTCCCTCTGTCGCTAAATTCACTCTGTTTTCATTTCGTGTGGCGATTTCAACTTGTTTCGATGGTTCTTCCAGAGTTTGCTGTCGTCCCTGACGCGAAGATGAGGTTTCATGGTAAGGTCTTAGTTCCCTTGGACCGCGGTTGTTTTGAGCGTTGGAAGAGCTCCAAGACGCCCTCTTAAATTCCTGCTCCGATCTGCCCTGATCTGTTTCCCATTGTTTCGGTCGATGTCGGCCACCTTGGATCGGTGATTTTTCCTGGTCTAGTGATTTTGAAGCTGACTCACGTCTGCTAGGAGACCTGGTATCGAGAAGTGATTCCATGGACGAAGATCTGGCGAAGGAAAAGGCCTGCA